TAATACCTGACTAACTATTAATAAGCAGCAAATTAGGAGTTTATCGAGGCAAAAGTCATAGTTAATGTTTTGTTAATAGTGAGAATTGGACCTTAAAATAAAGTTTACCAGTTCTTCTTACTAACTAACTATTAACTATGACTTTTGACTCAAGAAACTCCTAATTTGCTGTTTATCAATAGTTAGTAAGGTAGTTGTTAGGTTTAGGTATGGGGTGGATTAAAGCAATAAGCCCCAAGAAGCCTCCGCTTCGCGTCTTGCCTAACAACGCCCCTTAGCTGTTATAAATTCACTGTAAACCACGGCTTCTTGGGGCTTATTGCTTTAATTGACACTGTAGAAATGAGCAAACCTCTCATGACAGTCCTGACGGAGCGAATAAGGTTCAGAAGTTGTGCTTTAATGCCGGGTTCATCTCCAAATCCTCCAATACCCTGCTCTGCTCCCCAGCCGACTGTGAAAATGATGCGTTTGTTAATTACAGAGCATTTTATAATGATACATATCATGCTATAACGACTATATGCATGCATGTAAAGATGTGTATCTTTATCATCACGGGCTGAAGGTTTATATAGTTTACAAATCTCCAAGATGTACATTTTACTGGAAACATGTTTTGTTTTGTTTTTTCTTTTTGACTGTATTCACTGGAAATAAAGAATAGTTAATCCCTGAAAAATATTGCATCTCTAACAAAATAACAGAAGTACAAATTAAGATTACGCATAATTAGGCCTGTCGCAATAATCAATATATGTACATGACCTCAATCATTTTTGGTGACCCAATATATCGCCCATTATATTTACTTAAATTAATGTCACCGTGTTTTGTACATTCCACTTGCGCCTGTGTCTTTTGCAGCTTCTCGTACTTAACCTAGTGTAGTCATGAGGTGCTAGTTCAAATTTAAAAAATGCCTCTACAAACAAAGTTTCATCTGCAGATATGGTCTTGTTTAGGGATCTGTGCCTTTGTGCATACGGACATCTGACTGCTAAGTAGTGATTGTGTTTTTCAGCAATAGTGTGCACCCTAAGTGTGTAGGCCTTCTTGCATTATTATGACGTTACATTATGATTATATATTCAGTGGCATAAAATGGTCTTTAAAATGACAATAATATCGCTTATCGCAATTATTTCTGGGGCAATATATCGCACAACAAAAAGTTGTTATCGTGACAGGCCTATGCATAATGCCTATCCAACTAGCTTGCAAAATACTATTTTTGCTAATATTCCCAGTTGATCTGTATTCTGTAAGCTTTGCTTCATTTATTTTATCAATGCTGCCAGATGTATTCCCGTTGGGAGAATTTAAGTTATTTATAATATCTGATTTGTTTTATTTTATTTATTTATTTTGCTTAAAGATATGAGAGAGCCATGCTGCTGAATGCATTGTTCCTTTATTTGTTCTGCACTGCATTTGTTTTATTTACAAGAACAAATTTCATTTAGAAGTCTTCTTGCTGTTTTTTTTTCTTTACTGTAAAATCTCTTAAACTTATAAATAATAACACATTTCTTATATGATTGTATTGTTCCTGCTGATTTCCTTCATATGTTACATTTGCATGCATGTATATTCCTTTCATGTTATTTTATTTCAAATTAAATTCAATGTTTAGACCCACTGTAATCATTAATATTTTTATATTATATATTTTTTATATTATATTACATATTATATATTTATATTACATATATATATTTTTTTTATATTAAAGTCACTGACGCTATTAAATAACACCTATATGGAATTATGTAGTGATGAAAAGAAGTTAAATAGCAGCTCTGCGCACACGTTGTACTTTCACAAAGTGCTGATCCATTTCAAAACATGTTTTTATTTCGCATATATTGATTCATATGTAGGCACATACAGAAGATGATACTGGCGAACTGATGCAGACTAGCCTGTTAAAATTCGGATTTCTGTTAATAACTGTTAAAAATCCCTTCAGGCGATGTCAAAAAGTACCATGGTCAAAGCATGTTATAATCGCCTGTGTTCACGTTTACCATTCTCATATTTATGTACGTTAATTTCCTGTACATTTCGGAGACGTAAACTCTAGGCTAGCAAATCAGATGGCAATACACACATATTTACACAACAAAACAAACCTATCATCATACCGAAGAGAACAAATCTACTCCTAAGCACTTACTTTTACTGAGAAACCTCTCTTCGTGGAGCACCGCGACGGCATTCGTGAATAATATCGCTGTTTGAATCAGCGCGTACAGCGTGAACGCCATGCTGGCATTAACTACTTTAGTTTACTGCGTGCGACGACGCAAAAGCGCTTGCGTGCGTGCGTCGTGCGGAATTACGTCACAGACGCGCCGCCAAAGACTTAGATTGACAAGAGTAAAAAAAAAAGCATAATACTTACATATTACTCTAACTACATTACTTTAACTGCTAAATATGATGATATTCCGACTTTAGCCATATACTGTACCCACCAAACACATGAATCACGTGCTCACTGTATTTGTACTCATACTCACTGAATCGTATGAAGACACTAGATATTTTCGTACCTTATTTTTGAACAACCTATTATTTTTTTTTATTTGTTTGCTGATGTACAACAACATTATTCTATATATTATCGCAGCATTTAATAGTAATACAACCCATTATGCAGGAAATAATTAATAAAACGAATGTAGTAACTGAATTAGGCTATATAATATTTTCGAATATATATTTAATAGGCATAATTAAATAATATATTTGACAAATAATATAAATAATAAATAAATAATTTACAAAAATCAACGTAAACCCTAAAAATGCACACAAATATTGTTTTATAGCCTATTTTTGCTATCACTCATTTTCTTTCTTTAGTATTGTATTATGCTTGTGGTTTACAAAGTGCACTTGTAAAAAAATAAATAAAATAAAAATATTGAAATGAATGGTCTTTTTCATATTATAGACTTTTAATTATCCACATAAATAGAGAAACTACAAGAACATATTTAAATACATTTGCATGAACAGTTAATAATAACATTTTGAAACGTGTGTTTATGTCAATGTTGTATTTAAACAGGCAAAACAAGAACGGTTTACACACTTTCAGATTGCTCATCAGCCACAATACAGAGCAACCCGTTCCCTCCACAGCCTCCTTTTGTACATTTACAACCTAGAGCTAATTTCATTGTACAGTTTGCTGTTATCAATATAAGCGAATGCATGGGTAATAAATAAACTTAAGTTCATAAATAATCAAATGGGGTTACTGTACAGGAAATATGTCAAATGAACTCTAAATCATTGGTAGATGCATTGAATGGTATACTGTTTATCAGTCAGTACACTGATGCCTTTTGGTTTGATTGGAGAGATGGATATTGTTGAGGTGGTCTGTCAAAGGCAGCGTTCAACATTTTGATCCGGTGAAGAGGTTGCTTTCTTTGTGTTGAGACGTTGAGAGCAGCTTGATTTTGTTTCAAACAAATTGACCTAAAACATATAACAATTGATATAGTCAGTATGATTTCTCAAAATAATCAAGAACAACAAAAATGTGATCACAAATTAGTGAACTAATCGATTATCAAAATAATCGTTAGTTGCAGCCCTAGTTTTTACATTACTTTAAGTCATCAAAATAAGTTACGCAATTTTCAACTTTATTTTATAAGTTACAAAGGTTCAACTCATGTTTTAAGCAGCAACTTATTTTTTTTACGGTGATCTATTTTGTTGACAAATCATGAAGTCTGTATTAAATAGATTTTAGTGAATGCAGACACATTATTTTTCTCATATGATGAAATAACTTTGATACTTACCATTTAGCTTTTGTTTAGATGTGTCCCGACCTTTTCTTTTCTAATGATGTTTGCATAGGGAATCTACCAAAAAAAAAAACACACTATGGAATCAGTTAATACTTGGACTGCCCATCAACAATACAACATTTCTCTTATCTGCCATTTTAGGGATTATATCATCTATCTACAGAAGGGATGACACAAAATTTGCTTAAAGGGATAGTTCACCCAAAAATGAAAATGTGATGTTTATCTGGTTACCCCCGTGGCATCCAAGATGTAGGTGACTTTGTTTCTTCAGTAGAACACAAACAAAGATTTTTAACTCAAACCGTTGCAGTCTGTCAGTCTTATAATGGAAGTGGATGGGAATCACGGCTTTGAGAGTCAAAAAAACATACACAAACAAAACCAAATTAAACCCTGCGGCTCGTGACGATACATTGATGTGTAAAGACACGAAACGATCGGTCTGTGCAAGAAACTGAACAGTATT